CCCCCCCCCCCCGCCCTTACACACACACTTTACACACACACACACCCACACACAGTCCCCTTTGTTCTGCACTCAGCTCATCCACTGCACAATATTGCTAGGCTTAAATTGTTTGTTATACTATCTAGGTGAAGTTCATACTCTAGTCCCTCCTAACAGTTTTCTGTGACTTTATGAGATGTCATTGCAGTCTCTTGGCACTGCTCTGTCTATCCTTCTCTGGGTTTTGTCACTATGTCAGCAATATTTTATCACTGGGCATGTTTTGCAGGTCACACCAATCAACATAAATCTTGTTTTGGTCAAACATAAAAACCTTGCACTACAACGAACCCTATACAAGGTTGCACAACAACATATATTCTGTAAATTAATGTTCAGTTAGATAAAGTACCTAAAAAATGGAAAGTATGGACACTAATGGATCTCGCTTCCTGTGACTTAAAAAAATACATATTTTTAAAACAATGTTGAATTATACATTAGTGTGCATGCATTACATGCGTATGTTGTAATGTAGTGTTTGTGGTCTTTAATAAACAAATAAAAAATGCATTAATAAGCATGTATCATCAAGGTATGTTTGGAGAACTCAAGAGAAGCGTAAAAGTTACTTGAGGCACTGCCAATCAAGAGCTACTCTGGCTTCTAGAGTGATCTCTGAACTTGCCAACTACACCATAGCTCATTGACTCACAGCTACAAACGTACACCAATTGGTTTATAACATCGTCAATAGCAATGTCATTGCAAAGTCAACTTTAAACTACGAGTAGTCCCTCTTTCACTTAGTCAGTTGTGCGTGATGTGAAAGAAAACCACGAGAAAAACGTGGCCGCACGAAATCCTGGAGGTGAGGAACCCATTTTTCTCACAGTTTTCTTTCGCGTCATGCATGATGGACTAAGCGAAAGAGAGACTAATCATAGTCTAAGTCAACTTTGCTGACACCATGTACGTGCACCATTGGATTATGATGCAAGTTTACATATACTGAGTTTGATAGCACAGCCTTGCTAGCTGTGTTGTGTCTTACCTCAAAATGTTCCTTCATGATCTTTGCATTTTCTAATTTAGCTTTTGTTCCTTCATAGTCACCAACAATGGAAAGGGCAATGGCATACCACTGTGGGAGAAAACAGAGAAACTTCATTTTCTATTTCATCAGGGCTTTGATTTTACATTATTTCTATTAATTGCTTCAAAGGATTGGTTGTATCAAGTCTATCAATGATGGAGGCAAAACACTAATCATTATGTCAGGAGTACCTCTACAGCCAGATGACTCCAAATAAACTCCTGACTTTAATGGGATAAACACCAGCATGATGTCTAGGATAATTTAAATTTTAAGGAAATTAAAAGATTACTTATCACCAAGGAGTGTTTAAAAACTTTCTTTTCAACAGTTCAACTGCCTCCACATTCCAATATAGAGATAGTGATTACGTGTCTTTTTAGAAACTTGAATTAAGTTCCTAGATTAAGGTCCTGGATTGATACTATTTTATATGATTGTATATATTTCAATTAATATATTTTAGTTCAGTATTATACAATGAGAGTTTTATTTATTTTATTTTTATTTTACTTTATTAAGTTTTTTGGCTTAGCTCTTTAACATGTAGTGCCATATTAGAGAAAGGATCCACATATAGTAATTTGAAGTATTGGCAAGGATTATCATTATGATTGGCACCAATTAACTGAAAGTGAAAGTTATATGGAAGGCTAAAACGTATCACCAACCTTATGACAAGCAAAGTTCTTGTCATCAAGCCTCAAAGCAAGTTCAGCATGTTCCAGAGCTTTATATGTCAATCGTTTCTTTGTGTCTTTATCTTTGTTATTTTCTGCCAGCACTCTACATGATCTAGCTAATCTCCACTCTATCTCAGCATTTTGTGAATCTTTGTGTTTGAGAAGTAGATCGTACTGTTCTTGTATTTTGTTGTCATCATATAATTCATCTGCTGTCTTTATATCAAGTTCTAACTGACTCATTTTTATTGATTCTGATGTAGCAGAAGTTTGTGCTTCCTGAGGTTTGGATGCTCCCCACCAACCAAGAGCAAGCAATGGAGGAACGGATCGAGATTTTGTCACCAGCTGGGTACATAGTATGTAAACCTACAACAAAGATATATCTAAAAATTATTAGACAATAGCTGTGTTCACAATAGGCCTAAACATCATGTCTAGTCTGATCACTAATGAAACATGTTTCACTGTGACAGCTGTTCATATCAGGTGGTATATTATTTTGCTGATTGTCTTAAGGTTACAATCTGATTTTTATTTAAAAAGATAACTTACTTTATCATTCAATATATTTTTTCTTCCTTTTCATTGGCCAAGAGCCAACCATATCACCTGCAAATAACCGCCTACAAATAATGGTCTGCTCATGCATAGTACCATCTAAATGTCTTTTGCTACAAATAATATTCTGCTCATGCGTAATTGTAACCATGATCTTTGGTGAAAAATGGCAGATTGCTCTCCTGAGCTGCCAGAGAGTGATTTAAATAAGAAAAAAAATTTGGTGATCGAATGATAAAACAATTACTGAGCTCTGTTATCACAAAATATCATTATTTGTCAGTGTCTCGCAGATCAATTATTTGCCTCAGCCTTCAGCTTTGGCAAATAATAGATCTGCTCTCCACTGACAGATAATGATATTTTGCTCAACCTCATCCAATAACTCTGATTTATTTTCCCATAAACTGCATCTACCCAGCCAAAGTTAAAGATAAGTGTATGGAAAATTAGAAAAATTAACTAGTCATCGTCTAGCCAAGCTACTCTTTCAAACTTGGTGAATACAATCCTCTACCTAGCATTTTAATGTTGCAATTCACAAATTGTGTAAAATTCAATTTTGGAAAATGTTCTTTGCCATCGGATTCCCATACAAATGCTGTAGTTTCTGACCACTTTGCCCACCCATCAAGATGGTGTCGTAAACCTTACATGCAGCTTAAGACAGGAATTGCACCCTATTAAAAAGCTAACCATTGCCAAGTCAGCGAAAACTAACAACCTAAACTGAAATGCCACTCAGACTAACTGGATTGCTGTTCAGGCTAACCAAAGTGGTATCTAGGCTAACTGGTGTGCTGTTTAGGCTATCCAAAGTGATACTTAGGCTAACCAGAGTCCCTTATAGTGTGGTGCAATCCACCATAGGAAAAAAGATGGTGGCTGTACATTTTACCACAATACCTTGCAAACCTAACACAGCCTGTAAGACACAAAGAAAGCCAAATTTTTACAATATTTGTCTCTGTACAAAGGACATTGTGTATGCTAGGTTTGAAGATTTTGTAACTCTTCTGTGCGTTTTTATGAACGTTGTTAAGGCTTTTGCTCGCTAAGAACTATGAGTAAATGTACCAGTCGCCATCGTTTTTCCTACGGATTCCTGTCTTTACCCGTAAATGTGACAACGTCTATTTTACTATTTTTCTCCTTAATACATGTTTCAACAAAAAGGACAAAATAAATTTAAAATCCGGACTTTAACCATATGTATGAATGCGAAAACGCTGATGTAACACTCATTTAAATTTGCTTCGCCCTATGATCCTCTGACAAGGAAAGACAAGTAAACAAAATTAATTGAAGTTAGGTCTAAGTTAACAGCGGGTGGCAAAATTCCTTCAAAACTGAGTAACACACTACGTCGTTGTATTTTGATTTGCTCTGACTTGAAACGTACCCTCTTTTGAACGTGCATTCTGACAGGTGTTTTAAGCCGTTGAAGTACGTTTATAACAAATCCTTTCTCCACAACGAGCGCTCGAATTCGCCAAGCAAAACGTCCTATCCCATATACAGCCGCCATTTTGAAAACGTTGGGAACTGGGTCAGAGTATTTGAAAAGGTTGTTCCAAAGGGAAAAAAGCCAGGACTCCCGTGTCACCGTGATATGTGTATCCCCGCACACAGATCACTCGTGATATGTGTCTCCCTCGTGGGGATACACAAAACACTGATACGCGCCTGGGCATTCAACGAACAAACATAACAGCCTTAACATATCTTACAAAAAGTCGAACTGAAAAGCGGGTGCAGGGGATACACGTCGGTGCCACTAATCATTTTCTGGGGAGCGGGTCGAAACAGTGATATGTGTTTCACTCCACGAATAATTCAGATGCAAACAAGGCGATGAACAGTGGACAATATGCGTTACTCGAGGGGTGAGAATGCACCGCGCAATTAATATCGTCCTAGAAATCCCGTGCCGTGAAAGTCAAATTGGAATATATCTAGATCCATTTGGTGTTCAACTTTAAATTTATTATATCCTGCTCGCAGAAAACCAGTTAGGATCAAGAAAACAATTCCAGCAGCAGATACGTAAGCTTTTTCAACCACAAAAATTGAGATTTGTGGTCTAAGTCTGTTTGGGTTCCTCGCTCGTCCAGTAAGCGACCGGACGACGAGAGCGCTTTCAAGGAGGATATTGCGATTTAAAGTAGAGGGGATGGGGGTGGGGGATACACATATCACTGGCTGCTATTTTGGAGGGGATACACATATCACTAGTGATATGTGTGCGGGGATACACATATCACGGGGATACACATATCACTGTGACACCTGTCCGGTCCGGACTAAGAACCGACAACAAAGGAATGCTTCTAATTCGCTTTGATTGGAAATATTTTCGACCATCGATTACTTCATTTTTCATATTGCTTCTCGTGAAAAGACAATAGAATTATGGCGATGTTCTCAAATGGAAAGATCGCGCGATCGACTGGGGGGATTTATGAAGTTGATAAAAGTTGATATACTATCAACCTCGTTCCCAGGGTCTCTCATCTTACCGCCCCCTGGAGCGAGCTCCAGTGGGCGGCAAGATGAGAGACCCTGGGAACGAGGTTGGGTCGCTATCACTTGAATTCTAAATTTCAGTGTAAAAATCAACGATATATCAGTTGTTGTTTTAACAACAATAGAAACACCATATAATTCATTGACTCACCGAGGTCAAGACGCAGGGGCGAAATGCGAATCCCGTGGTTGACTCCAGAGCCGCCTCTCACTCGTCCAGGAATGGAAACCTCGTGATGAGTCCCCAGAGGTTTTTTTCTGACGATGGTCCCATAGGAATTTCGTGAATTATTTACATCGATTTGAAATTCGATCGCTATCCCCAGTTTTGATAAATCAAATTTTAAGAAAATTAAAGCCGCAAAGTTTAGAATATCACCTAGTAACCTTTTTCGTTGTTCTTGAAATTTATCCTACAGGAACAGCACAGCAGTGGAATGCCGAATAGTCCGAATAGTCCGAATAGAGCTACAATCTTGGACAATTTTTTAATTGTCCAAGGTTTTTCATTTAAAAATGAAAAATTAAGACCACTCCTTGCGTTTAGCGCCAGTTCATCACTGATTCGGTGCTTTTATTTCTCATATTACTCTGACCAAGATTGTCCGAGGTCCACACTGGTATTACAAGAAGCTATATGGTCTATGCAGGTCACATCTGAGTTGTTGTCGCACGTTCGATAACTAAGGGAAAAGAACGTTAGCCGAAATAAAATCTCGTGAACTCTGTACGCGATTCAAACATAATCATGCGGAAGTAAAATCAAAACATGGTTTATTTTTGGCGTGTCATGTACTTTATTGATATGAAAATTGAAAACGTCGCTTTCTTTCCTTTTCTAAGTACTTTATCGGTACCTTGAAGCGTTGAATTTTTTTTTTTTTTTCTGCACCACTGACGAGGTGGTAATATGTGGTGTACGTGGAGGGAGGATTCATTGATGAGAAAAAGACAGAGTGACTGGCAGTGCACTGGCATTCTTTCCCAGCAGATTCAACGCCAAAAAAATATTTGACCTTACCCACAGAGAGGGAAAAAAAAGGAAAAAAGAAGAGGAGAACGGCCTCGAACTCGAGAGAGTTCATGCGCGTTACCCTCACCTGCGACTTACCCTATACGCTACCGCGCAACTTGGGCTTCACATTTTCAGTCTTTTATTTTTAAAAAGCCTTAACTTTTCAGGCTCTTTATCTTGAATATTTGTTTATTGAAGTATTTTCTTTCTGCACAATAGTTTTCTTTACAAAAAAAGAGTCTTGCCCGATTTTTATCTACGTTGAAATAAAACACAACGATTTACAAGGTTTTATTGACAATTGTTTATGGTTTAGCGCGGTTTTGTAGCAGGGCAGTAAAATAATCGGCATAGTTCAGTTTTTACTTCATTGTTCGCCAAAATTGTCAAAACCCGTTTTAAACCGTCAAATAAACCAACCATAAATCGTGGGAAATATGTCGTAAACCGTCACTAAAACGTGTAAGCATCGTTTTATCATAGTACAATTGTCCACAGAGAACGGTTACTTTTATTAGTTCTTCAGTCTTTCGCCATTATTTCGTTTTATGTCAGTGACACGACTATTTATAGACTCTACAGTTTTACCGATCAGCTCCTGAGTCTTTAGAATTTGGATTGAAGTCCAGTCTTCGCAAGGTATTCTTTTTCTCCATGACATGACATGTTTGTCATGTTTGTACTGAGCTTTTCGAGCACTAATATGATTCGTTATTATTCCCAGTACTGCTTTGGATCGATAAGTTGAGGCTAGAATGGTTTTTATCTATTCATTATAACCAAAATATACTCTTCTTGTAGTAGCTAAACTTAGGTTATCGGCGTTCTGATGCGCGTGACCGATAAATGCGTTCACAAATTAGTTCCTAATTACCGGCCCCCTTTGTCTTGTCTCGTTGAAACCTTTCCTTGGACAATTAAATGAAAAATTAAGACCACCCCCCCCCCCCCCCCCCCCCCCCCCCC